ACACACACAGAAACGTCAGACACACACAGACATCACACATATGCATCTCTCTCTCTCTCTCTCTCTCTCTCTCTCTCTCTCTCTCTCTCTCTCACACACACACACACACACACACACAGACATCACAGAAACATGCAGACATCACAGACACACACAGACATCACAGATACATGCAGACATCACAGACACACACAGACATCATAGATACATGCAGACATCACAGATATATGCAGACATCAGAGATACACGTAGACATCACAGGCACACACAGACATATCAGGCACACACAGACAGATCAGGGACAACAGACATCACAGGCACACACAGACATCACAGGCACACACAGACATCACAGACACACACAGACATCACAGGCACACACAGACAGATCAGGTACACACAGACATCATAGATACACATAGACATCACAGATACATACACACATGACACACACACACATGTGAGGGTCAGAGAACAACTTTCTCTCCTTAAACCATGTGGGTTCCAAGTTATCACACTTAGCTCCTTGGGTTTGACAGCAGACACCTTTGCCTGCTGAGTCACCTTGCCAGTCCCTGGTCACAATACATTAAGAGACAGAACAGAGGCAAGAACACAGACTGGACCAAGCTACTGGGACTCACAGCCTAGCTCTGCCTGTCCTGCTCAGTAACCTCAGGACATGTAATCTCCTCTGCCTCTGTGTCCCATCTGACAAATGGGGCATTAATGGAGTCACTTTGCAGAACCTGTTATGGGGGTTAGAGGATCAAAAATATGCTTTAGAATATGGGTTGAGTGTACAAACAAAAGACATTGGTTCTGGGGACTGACCTTGGGGCCTCTCACACTAGGCAAGCACGCTGCCCTTGAGTTATAGCTCTGGCTCTCTTTTTTACTTTTTATTTTGAGACAAAGTCTTGCTAAATTGCCCAGGCTAGCCTTTGAGTGTGTAGCCCAAGATAGCCCTTGAATTGCATCCCTGGGCACCAATCTTCTGAGTAACTGGAATGATAGGCTTTTGTTAGCAGGCTGGGCCTGATGGATGATGGGAGCTCCCTGCAATGGAATACACTATATTACAGATAAAGCATTTAAGCGTTCTTTCTGGGATAGACTATTTCACACCCGCATTTTGGAAACAGTGTGTATTGGTATGATCTTGCTCCTGTAGCCTTGTATGTCGATTGATTTCTCTCCACGTAGACACCTGCCAAGAGACATCAGGACAGAAACAGCAGGGAGGCTGCCACTCTGACCCATCTGTACCTAAGTTGCATCATTCCAGACATTTTGGGACTCTCTGTCATTCATTGTCCCTCCTGAGATAAACCAAATACAGTAAAGGCGTTTGCTCCTCTCCCCTTCAGTGGCCCAGCCACCTGCTGGGAGCCTTTCTGCTTTTGCATGGCCTTGCACCCCTGTCTGCAGGGCTGCCCTTTCCAGCCATCTCAGCCCCTCCTCGAGCCCATGGGCTAACATGCACGCCTTACCGGAGTTGGGGTACTTCACTACCGAGGGCAGGTACCGCCTCTTGTTTATGTCCACGGGCACGAAGGCCGTGTACTTGCTGATTATGTTGCAGGCCTTGCTGGTGTGCACAGCGTTCACCTGGTACCGGCGATTGGACCCTAGGGGAGGAAGAGTGAGGTTCATTGCTTGGGATCACAAAGTATTGCTTGGAGACACTAGAAGGAGAGTTTGGCCATCAGACTCCATCTTTGGGATCAAATAGATCTTGAATGTACTAATTAAAGACATCCAGACCAAAAAAAAAATCATCATTTCACAAAGATAAAGGATATTCTAATGTAAAAAATTAAGTCATTATCTTAGAATAAAAGATAGCCAGTTCCCTTAAGTAGCTTGTGTTATTTAAGAGGTATTCTATGTTGTTTGTATTTTGTATTTGAATATTGCGGATGACTAATGGGGACCTTGTTACAGGGCTTTGCGGTTCCAGAACAGATGAAACCTATGACATGGCGGAGAGGATTGAACAGCTGCGGCTGGGGAGAGGCTTCACGTACCGGTAAGAGTGCTTGCTAAGAAAGCATGAAGACATGAGTTTATATCCCCAGTGGACAACTGCAAGGCTGGGTGTGGCCATGGCCACCTGTGACCCCTGCTGGAGATGCGGGGAGAGGGAAACAGGAGGACCCAGAGGGCTCACTGGTCAGTCAGCTTGGCTCCAAAGCCCCAAGCTTTGGGTTTGGTGAGATACTCTTGTCTCAAGGGAGCAAGGTAGAGGGTGGTAGAGGGACACACCCAGCATCCTCCTCGGACCTCGGGATATATCTACCCACCACTATCACTCCCACCTCCACCCGAACATGCACACACAGATGCACAGACACACACACAGACACAGACACACAGACACACACACAGGCACACAGATACACAGGCACAAACACACAGACACAGACACACACACAGATACACACAGACACACACAGATACACATAGACACAAACACACACACAGACACACACAGATACACACAGACACAAACACACACAGACACACACATAGGTATACAGACACACACAGATACACACACAGACACAAACACACAAACACACACACAGACACAAACACACAAACACACACAGACAGATACACACAGATATACAGACACACACAGATACACACATACACAGACACACACAAACACACATACACACACAGAGATATACACACAGGCATACACAGACAAACACACAAACACACACACAGACAGATACACACAGACACACACAGATATACAGACACACACAGATACACACAGAGACACAAACACACAAACACACACACAGACAGATACACACAGACACACACAGATATACAGACACACACAGATACACACATACACAGACACACACAAACACACATACACACACAGAGATATCTCTCTCTCTCTCTCTCTCTCTCTCTCTCTCTCTCTCTCTCTCTGAGATTTAAAACCAGAGAAGCACTCCATGGAGGGTCATACAGCAAGTTAATAAGGACCTAAGGTTGGGATTTAGGATGACCAGGCCTGGAAGATGGGCCCTTTCTACCAAGTAGTGAAGCCTCCTTCTGGGACTTTCCAGAAGCCAGGGAAATGAGGGCTGGGGAATATTCACGGGAAGAAAAGAGTATCATGCATTACCCTGAAATACAAATGAAATATAAGTCACATAGTATGCAAATGAAGCATAAACTTAGAACAAAGGATTGTGTAACTCTTCTTGGCCCTTGCCTCTGTTCTCCAAGCAAGTTTCGTCCAGATCTCAATAGTCATGTTCTGGGGAAAGGCCGCCCCAGTTCCTGAACTAAATTAGCTCCTGAACCATCCATCTCATACATGGCTTAGATTCGTGTGTTTCTAAACAGTGCTTAATTAATTTTCTGTGTAATTGTTTTGATTAATGCTGGCCTCTGTTAGCCAGTGCCAGGTGCTCCTGGGAAAAGATGGGTTTGCTCCGTTCTATGCCAACCAACCTTCAGAAGCATCTACAGGACCAAGCACCTAGCCTGGTCCTCAGCCGGGTCCCCAGCTGATGGTCAGGAAGTCAATGGGGCTGATGAGAGAGTGCGGGATCTTGGCTAGGTCTAAGGACCTTATAGGAAAGGCTCTGCCTCAGAGGAGTTCCTATCACTGTTGGGTCTCCAGAACCAGGCACGGGCCGCTGAGTGTGAGGGAGCATGGGGATGAAGGGATGTAGGAACAGAGGTAGAAGAGAAGCAGGCAGGAAGAGAGGAGGATGGAGGAGGCCAGGGTTGAAGAAGGGGTTACCTCAGGTTGAGGATAGAGTCCCAAGCGCCATTAAATATGTGGGGGAAAGGTGTGGTGGAGTGTAGGCCCCTGAAGACAGCTAATGGCAGGCAGAGAGCCTTGGCCACTGCAGGGGTGGTGGGAGGTGGTAAGTGATAGAACAGGGGAGGAAGAATAATAGTGGAGCCTTGAGCAGAACGGGGTGAGGGCAGGATATTGGGTGTGGGGTTTCCATGAGAGAATGGGTGGATCTAGGAGGCAGGCAAAGCGCTGTGCCCCCGTGGGCAGACTTCGAGGCTGTGGGAGGGGTTTTTATGAAGGGCAGGGATGAACTCTTTTTGAGAGGGGGTATGGTTTTGGCATCAGGATGTGCTGTAAAGAGGGGTGGGCATATACATACACAGGACGGTGGACAGGACACTAGATTAGAGGGAGTTCCATGTGGTATGGGCAAGGCTTTGCTAAGAGATGGGGAGGACATTTAGGCATGGGAGGGGACACTGGGTGGAGCTGCTCCATTAGATGGTTAACCTAGGGAAACGGTGAGTTACTGGAACCCCTAGAGCAAAGGCTTTGAGGGCTTTGGGGGTGTAGGCAGATCTCTGAAGACTGAGGAGGTGGATCTTGGGCAGTTGATGAGATCCTAGCTGCTAGAGGGCAGGCCTTGGGCTGTGGGTGGGGTACCGTGCTTCTAAAGGGCTGGCTTCTGGTAGGGCATATGGCCCCCTCCTCAATCCTGGGTGCTTACCCAGCTCGATCTCGTCCTCACGCTCCGCCAGCTGCTCGAAGTCACGGATGATGGCGCGCGCTGCCAGGTGGTGGAAGGTCTTGCTCCACATGTCGGCATCCTGCTCGTCCTCCCTCTGCAGGGCTGGCGGTTCCAGCTCAAAGCTCACCTCCCACTGCAGACGCTGGTTGTCGCACAGGCCTTTGACTAAGGCCTTCCCCTGTACAGGGCCTGGGGTGGCAGGCCTGCAGGGACTGACTTGCTCCTCCGACTCAGCCATGGGCTCCCAGTCTGAGGACATCTCTGTTTCAAAGATGGAAGGGTGGTGGGGTGGCTCTGTGGGTGGAGGGACAAGAGGGCTGAACCTGAGGCCAGAGACAGGGAGCCACCTCTGTGGCAGTCACTTCTAGAAAAACACAAAGCTAGCCTCCCCTCCCTTAAGAAGTTGAGGACAGCTTTCTAGTGGACTAGTGCAGCACAGGTGGTCTGGGTTTGTCCCAGAGAGGGACAGACAGATCCACCTTTCCGAAAGCTTGTCCCTGAGGGGCTGGATAGATGGGGTGGTACAGTCAGGTTGAGTGGAGAAGGTGGGACTAGAAAGCAAGAGTTTGCTCTCAGAGCAAGAGTTTCACAAAGACACAGAGGCAGCCACTGGTCCCCTGACCCTGTCCCCTGAAATTGGGCCTTTTTGTCCCGTCAAGTCTCGGACCTTGGACACTTACCCAGATCCTCCGAGCTTCGGCTGTCAGGGGCAGACTTAGGGCTAGAACATGGGTCCAGCTCCTTCATAGGGTTCCAGGCCTGGGGCTCCTGGCCAGAGAGCAGCAAGGGCTGGCAGCCTGGAGGCAGTAGGGAGGGCCTGCGGGCCCCTGGGCCGTGCAGTCTGGGGCCCTGGCTCAGGTCATGGCCACTGCTGAGTAAGGGCTAAGAAGGCAAGAGGAGTGGAGGGGAGGAGGGGTGATACAAATGGAGGAGGGGGAGTGGGAGGAGGGAGGCAAGAGGAGTAGGAAGGGCGTAGATGGAGAGAAAGGTGCAAAGATGCAGAGGTGCAAGAGACAGAGGAAGAGGGGAACAGCAAGGAAGGGAATGGGGATGGAGATGAGAGGATGAAAAAGAGGAGGAAGGAGGAACGGGAAGGAGGGTGGAGAGGATGAAAAGGGGATGAGAAGGAGGAGAAAGAGAAGAAGATGGGGAAGAGGAGGAAGGGAGAATTAGGAGGAAGGGGAGGAGGACAGGAGAAGGTGAGAGGAGGAGGGAGGGATGAGAAGAGGAAGAAGAGGAGGGAGGAGAAAAAGGAGGAGGGAGGAAGACTAGAAGGAGTAAGGATGGAAGGAGGAAGAGGAAGGTGGAAAGAGAAGAAATGAAGGGAGAGGTGAAGCCCATGGTGGCTGGTGGCTTGAGCCACCCCCCCCAATTCCCTCTCTCTGTCCCCTCCCTCTCTCTCTGCCCCACAGCTCTTCCCAGGGCTGGGCTGTCACCACAGGACCCAGGGACTCATGGCTTAGTCTCCACCACCCATGAGAAACAGAAACCAGAAAATTCCCAGGCACAGGTCAACTCTGAGGCACAGAGAACCCTGCACCATGGAGAATTCCAAACCCACTTTCCTTTTTGGCATAAAGCTTCAAACCTTTTTTGTGTGTAGTTAAAATTACCAGCCCTTCCCTTATGTCTCCCCATATGCTGTGCTTAAGAGGTCTTTCCCACCCCCCCAAAAATCTTCTAGAAGTTTTGTTATTTTTGTTTGTGTGTGTTTAAGTCTTTGATTCATATGCAATTTATTTTCCCATAAGGCGAGAGAAGCCAGCTTTTACTTTGATTTTCCAAATGCTGCAGATCTCAGCACTGTTTACGGAACACAGTGGGCTCTCCGTGGCTTATCAATTCTCTACACTCGTCTTACAAAGCTTGCATGTGTGTTTGGCGTTGTTTACGGGCTTTTTGGTTTGTTTTGATTTTCATCTATCTGTTCTTGGGCTTGGTATAAACAAGTATCTGAAAGCCAAGGGGTAGATGGGAAATACCCTTGCAACACGTATGATGAGTTCTTTTTTTAAGAGGAAATGCTCTTGGTATTTCTTGGGTTTCCTGAGAATTCAGGATCCTCTAGGCTAGGTCCCACCCAACCACTGACTTCTGTAAGTGCACGTGTTTGTTAAAAAAAATGCATTTTCATTTCCTTATCATGTGTGTTTGTGTGTAAAGCCAGAGGACACACATGGCACTTCTTCCACCATATGAGACTCAGGGGTCATGACAGGACAGCATGTCAGGCTGACGTGACCCCAGAGAACTGCACCCCAGCGCCAGGTGAAGTTATCCTTGGACCAGGGCTACCCTGATTTGCATGGCAGAGACTGACTATACGCCTGGATTGTATCCATGGTGACTCATGCTAAGATCCTAGGATCATTCACCAGCCAATCTGAACTGCCCTCCTCCTCATGACACAAACTATCTGCCCAGAAGCTACATACAAGGAGACTTCTTTCAAACACAGGAAGACACCCCATCCCCTTGCCTCGTGTATCACTGCCCTAAGGGTCAAGTGGCACCGTACCTACTGCCCAGCCCATTTGCCCTCTTCTGGTGTACTCAATAAACAATTATCCTTACCCGGGTCTTTAAAAGAAAAAAAAATTCGCATGTAATTGGAGGGAAAAGACAAAATTAGAATAGTGAGGGCGTTCATCCACAGCGGTGTGAATCAAATACACCAATAAGTGAAGCGGGCACGCCCAGAGCCATGGCAGTTAAAAAAGGCTACCTTTGTTCATATTGGAGATTCACAAATACCTAAATGTTTGGTGGCAATGTGTCATCATCTCTTATGGATGGCGGGGGGACACACTGGGACAATGGGCTGCCTATCACCAACTGAAATCCACGGGCTACCTGAGACAGCGATTTTTTACTTTTACAAATTTAACCCTGTGGGAACCATGGGAGTGCCAGGGTCTCTGGTCAAGCCTTGTGTATTTATTGGTTGCAGTGTTGATAATCTGAGTAGGGGTGGCAATGCCTTCAACCCTAGCACTTCGGAGGCAAGGGAAGCAGGCCTCTGTGAGTTTGAAGCCAGCTTGGTCTATACAGTGAGTTCCAGGCCAGCCAGTGGCACCCTGACTTAAAAAAAAAAACCTTCTGGAAACTACATCTCCATCAGTATGGAAGAGTGAGTTATAGTATACCTATGCAATGGAGGACCTCACTGAATAGTGAGTACTGAATAGAAGGATTTCCTCATACTCCTGTGAGAAGGTAGTTGAGAAAAATTACCTTAAATGTTACATTATGACAGATCTGTATCTCAGTGATGACAAAGAGTAAGGCTGGCGATTGTCAGCCTCAGAGACTTGTTCAACAGAAAGAGTGATTTTACTGTATACAAACATGAATCCGAAAGCCATTAAGAGAGTGAGTGAGATGTCTCGGTTGGTAAAGCCACTTGCCGCCAATCCTGACACCCGGAGTTTGACTCCTAGGAATTCTCCCTCTTACCTCCACATGGGTGCAGACGCATGCACGCCCACTCGCCCACCCAAACGTGTACACAGCGGAAACAAATGTGATAAAAATGTATTTTAAAAAAGCACTGAGGCACTATGTTGGGGGGCAGTTTGCATAAGCAGCTATTAAAATATGCCTGCGTTCTGCATATACGTGTATGCGCATGGTATTTCTAGAAAGACATACTCGGAATCAAGTGCGTGTTGGTGTTGGGAGGTAGACTTTATTTGTACTTTATACCCAGCGGAACCGTTTGAAAGGTTTAATTCGGAATTCGGTGTAGTTCGGATGACTTTTGTGAGGGGAGAATATTAGGCTAAAACGCATTTCCAGTTTCTTAGACCACATACATGACCTGGCCGGAGAACAAGATGAGAAGACAAAACCCCTTAGCAGGCGTTGTGTAATTTGGGGGGGATATCAGTAAACTTTGAGGGTCTCTTCACACTATTAAGTATGTATTTTTTTTAAAGATATTCAAGTTGTTTCTTTTTTTAAATATTTATTTATTATGTATACAATATTCTGTCTGTGTGTCTGCAGCCAGAAGAGGGCATCAGATCTCATTTCAGATGGTTGTGAGCCACCATGTGGTTGCTGGGAATTGAACTCTGGACCTTTGGAAGAGCAGGCAATGCTCTTAATCGCTGAGCCATCTCTCCAGCCCCCAAGTTGTTTCTTAAATATAGAAATGATATTAAACCAAATAAGTAAGGCTAATGTAAAATAAAACAACGAAATATTAGAGGTCACACTAGAAAAGTGATACTCTTGTATGTCAACGGGGGAAAGTAATTCAGCCATTTATGGAAAGCAATTTGGAAGCAGACAGTAAACTTGATAAAGCAACATGCCATAGCCCAGTAATTTCTCTTCTGATTATATAACCCATAGAGGCTCTTGCACACAGACACAAAGACATGGGGACAGAGATGTCCATGGCAGCATGGTTTGTCATGGGCAAATAAAAATGCAGACTATTAACTATTTATTAACATAAATAAAATACACATGTGAATTTTTTATTTTATGTTTAGAGACAGTGTTTCTTTGTAGCTTTTGAGCCTGTCCTAAAATTCACTCTGCAGACCAGACTGGCCTTGAACTCACAGAGATTCACCTGTCTCTGCTTCCCAAGTGCTGGGGTTAAAGGCACATGCCACCACCGCCCAGCATATGTGCATATTTTTAAGATATATAGAAAGTAATCCTATACATTCTTATTGACTGAATATCCGTGGGAGACCCTTTCAGTTGACTTCAAAAGCACGACAGTGGGAAAGAGGGGAATTAAAGGGGGGTGGCAGTTTTAAAAATAAAAAGACGAGAAAAGAACTAACTAGATAAAAAATTAACAGTTGGAAATGCAAACTAGTGGATGTGGTCTTATTCTTTGTATGTAACTATATATTTTATATTTGTAAAAAAAAAACAACACAAGAGTTTACAAAGGTACTTGAGGTGCAAAATCAGTAAGATCTGCTTACTGGTAACCCAATAAGGCTGAGGGTGAGCAACGAAGGCTAGGCAGTCAGGTGTATGCTAACCACAGCACATCCTACCTATACACCCAGCCTGGTAGTGTACTATGTGGCTCTATCATCATTTGTCTAACCAATCAGTTCTCTTTCAACGTTTTGCTGCTATTATGACAAGAAATGCTTGCATACATTCATCTTTATGAATGTTCATATCTATCTGTAAGATGTATAAGAACATGTACATTATATATTTTTGATATTGATCATTGGTCCTTGTAGATGATCATAGGTATTGGTACTTGTGGTACTTTCTTTAAATAAGAATGAGGATGTAGTCAGTTGGTAGAATGCTTGCCTAGCACATAGGAAACCCTGGATTTGATCCCATGCACACACTTGGTGTGGGAACATACTTACAATCTAGGCACTCGTAAGTGGAGGCGGGAGAATCCAAAGTTCATTGTCACCTTTGACTACTTACGGAGTTCAAGGCCAGACCAGACCAGGATATGCCAGACCTTTTTTTTTTTTTTTTTTTTTTTTTTTTCGAGACAGGGTTTCTCTGTGTTTTTTTGGAGCCTGTCCTGGAACTNGATATTCAAGTTGTTTCTTTTTTTAAATATTTATTTATTATGTATACAATATTCTGTCTGTGTGTCTGCAGCCAGAAGAGGGCATCAGATCTCATTTCAGATGGTTGTGAGCCACCATGTGGTTGCTGGGAATTGAACTCTGGACCTTTGGAAGAGTAGGTAATGCTCTTAACCGCTGAGCCATCTCTCCAGCCCCCTTTAAGTATGTATTTTTGTTGACATGTGCCTCCCACAAAAGGGCTGTCTTCCTGTCTCTATGGTTCGAAGCATGGAAAGAGAGTGGCCACTTTTAGGGCACCTCTGTGGGGGGGGGAGGTGCCCAGCTATGACTCCCTGATCGCTCCACTGAGATATTCTCTCCTGACCTTACCACCACCCATACCGGGTCAGAGAGAAATGGACTCTGCTTCAGTTTCCATGGTAACAGAAGCATCTAGCAGCTAGCTTTTCCCCCAGCCAGAGACTCTGGGGAATCTACATACACGGAGTGGAGTGCTGGGGAGGGGCACGATCTCCCCAGGAAGTCAGACAGGAGAGGAGAAAGAGATGAAGCTAGATAGGAGGAAGAAAGGAGTTAGCTTGCCTGGAATACTCAGTGAGTAGAGCTGCCATTGAGAAACACAGGTTACAGCCAGGCATTGGGCTGGGGCTGGACCTTACATCCCCTACAGCCTGGAAGCCTCCTCCTTCTGGGATCTGCTTCCACTCTGTATCTGCTAGCGGATGGTGGCTCACCATCGACACTCACCCCATCTTGTGGGTTAGGCAGTGGGGGCTCAGAGGGGTTCAGAAATGTATGAGAGGAATGTCTAACTCCAAGACTATCGCGAACCATGTACATCGAGGGTCCCTGGAGAAGCCCAGAGAGTCCCCAGGGGCCAGGTGGTATGTGGCCTGTGCATATGGAGAGATTGGGAGAGAACTTGGCGGGGAAGTGGGAAGGTGCACTGGAGGTGGTGGGAAGCCGCTCGGGCCCACATGCTTAGGACAAGTGATTTCTGTCCCGAAGAGAATGCTTAAGTCATGATGTGGTTTGGCATAGCGGTCTCAACTAGATGGATTTATCCCCCTGGCCCCTGGGATATTCTATCGTGTCCAGGACCAGCCCCTACGGCAGAGCCTTAACAGCAATGATGCTGAGGTTGTTGAGGGATGACCTAACAGGACACTGGTGACCTTTCCTGTGGTGGCTCTGACTCCTATTTTCTTTGCCTTGAATGACTGACTGCCCAGTCATGGAAGGACCAGCAGTGTGAAGGAGGAAAGCAAGAACCCTGAGGGCCAGGGTTTCTTGGTCAAACCCATTGTGTGGTTCTGGGCAAGTCATCTTACTTCTCTGACCTTCAGTTGCCACATCTGTACCAAGTGAGGGTGGATGGTCTCCAAACTCCCTCCTCTCCCAGGTACTATAAAACCTAATGACAAGAATCTATACAGTGTCCTGTGCCAATGGGGAAGTGCTGTGTACAGGGCTCGGGCAAGCTCACCAAGCCAGAGATGACCAGTCTGAGGTCATCAATATATATGAAAACTAACATCAACAGGAAGCTTGGCCTTAGCTGGATCTGGATTCTGCATTCTACCCGATACTCCGTGTTCTTGTGTTGATAAACACTCCATCTTTGTTGTTATGTGTGAGCCATAGCCAAACCAAACTCCTCTCAGCCCCTCCCACCCAGCCCTGCTTAGGTACCTGCAGATCAATCTGCCACCGCGGGCTCTCTGAGCTGCCCTGATTGGCAAGGTCCTGCACCTTGGCTTTTCGCAGTGGATGTCTCCTGGCAATCCCAGTGGGGTCGCTGGCTGTGGTGGGCCTTGGGCTGGTCTTCTGGCTAGAGATCTGGTTGGTGCTGTATGCCCTCCGTCGTTGGGAGACATCCGGACCTGGACAAGGGTAGTCAGAGGGGGTGTTATCAGGGTGGAGGGTAGTGGGGGGAAAGAAAGGGGCTAACATGCCACTTTTCTGTTTGAAATGTCTTAAGTTCCCATTTTCTTACAGCAATATGTGCACGTGTCTCACTTAGCATCCAAAGCCTTGCCAGGTCTGGTCCTGGTCTAACTTCTCATAACTGTCCCTTCTACCCTCTTCATCATGTATGTGTGTGTTCTCCTGTGTGCGTGCATGCACATGCATGCTTGTGGAGCCAGAGAGGGATGTGAGGTTTCTTTCTCTGTTGCTATCTACCTTGTTTCTTTTTAAATTTGTGTGTGTATGTCTGTACAGTGTTCATGCATTTGTGTGTGTGTGTGTGTGTGTGTGTGTGTAGTGTATGTGGTGTGATATAGTGTGTGTGTGTGGGTAGTTGGGCATGTGTGTGTAGGTAGGACCCAAAGTTGATGTCAGGAATCTTCCCCAGTTGTTTTCCACTCAACTCATTTTAGATGGGTTCTGCGGAGCCAGCCTCTCGCCCTCTTGCTGGTGTGGTAAGGACTTGATTCACCGAGCCATTTCCCCGGCCCCAATCTTAGTATTTTTTACTTTTATTTGCATTTATTTCATGTTGAATCTATTCAACGCTATGGAGTGTGTCATGCATCTGCCTGTCACCTTTGTGCAGGGGCCATGCTAATCTCCCCCGCATCGTCCCAATTTTAGTCCATATGCTGCCAAGGTGAGCAGGACGTCCCATTGACTGGAGCTTGCTGCTAAGCTAGATTGACCAGCATGCCCCTGGATCCTCCTGCATCCTCTCAACAGTGGGCTACACGCTAGGGATCCAGAATCGCTTTCCCGTGCTTGCTCAACAAGTACTTTACCCAGCGAGCCATCTCCCCAGTCCCTCCTGTCCCCTTTAGGGATGCTGAGTGGTCAGAGGACACTGGAAGAGATGAGTAGCCAATGGCCAGTGCTTTCTATGTGCTACGCCTCCATGGCTTTGCTTGAGTGCTTCCGCTCCCAGGCACTTCCTCTCCTTTCCCACGACTAAGAACCCGCCCTCAGTGGCCTGTGATCTTAGGCAGATTCGCTCTTCTCTCCCTGGGGTCACCACAGTTGTGGTCTCTGTTCCTCTGCTTTATCAGAGTTAAGGTCAATTGTGCCTTTGTGTCTAAAAGGGGGGATCTTGAGGGCAGGTGCCAGGTGAGAGCCATCCTACTGCCCCCCCCCAATAATCAGTAAATGCTTTTTGAAAATGGCATCAAACTCTACAAAGGCACATAGGTCTAGGTTGACCCCCCTCTTTAGTATCCAAGAACTAAGCCAGTTGCTGAGATTCTGTAGTCTCTGTCTCCCAGTCTGTTCCATGGGTAACAGCATGTCCACCCCCATAGCTGCTAACTGGTTTGTACTGTGGGTATCATTGTATCCACACTCACAGCTGCCACTGGTCCCAGAGATGGTTTTTACCAAATGTTTAACATGTAGTAACTGGTCAATATAAGTTAGCAATCATCACCATTTCCAAGGAAAAGGGAACAGAGCAGCGCAGAAAGCAGAGGACCAACCGTGATGGGAGGGGGAGTCTCCATTGCATGGATGGGCATCTTGGGTCTGCCCTGGGTTGAAGATTTTGGCACAGTTCCCACTGCCTGGGCCAAGTCCCTCATCCTGAGAGTGATAGAAAACAGAGCTGCTGGACTCCTGAGCTTGCAGCGTGCCGTACTTTCGCCTTTTGTCCTGGAGACAGGAGAGGAAAGACGGGTGAGAGGAAAGTTAGGTTCACCAAGAACCTCCGTGGGCAGCAAAGGGTGTGAGGGGGGGCTCAGGTGGGTTTCCACCTCTGGGAACATAGCAGAATAAGGAAGGAGTGCCTGCTGGTTTGTTTGGAGAACTGAGGTGAATTTCTGGTCAAGAGATGGTGAATATGGAGCTGGATATTGTTGCTCACAGCTGTGATCCCAGCACTCAGGAACTGTGGTACAAGGCTAGCCTGAGCTACATAGTAAGTTCCAGGCCAGCCTGGGCTACAAAGTACAAGTCTGTCTCAACAATACAACATTAAAACAAAAACAAGAGAGAGAGAGAGAGAGAGAGAGAGAGAGAGAGAGAGAGAGAGAATAGAATTTCTTCTTATATTATGGTAATATTTAATCATTGACTTTGTACACTGAAAAAATTAAAAATGTAATTCTAAATTTCATTCTTGTTTCCTAATAGATAAACCATGTGTTCTTTCATTTTACTCTTCATGAAACACACACACACACACACATACACACACTTCACACTTAGCCACCTCAGGCCTTGAGTTTGTAACTCCTTATAAACCAGCCACGATGAGCATTGGGAGAGGGGCCAGGAGGCAGCCCCTCAGCCAATCTCCCACGTGCCTGAGGTACTTACGGGACTGGAATTGGAAATGTACAAGGAGGCGTCGCACACGATGCCATAGCCCATCAGCCGTTCCCCAGGGAAGAGGGAGCTGGTGCTAACAGGTGAGATCAGGACCTCTGTGGTCTCGGGGAAGACCCACTCCACGGTCACGTCACTCAGCACCGGCGCCATGGCCTTCTTCAAGGATTTGATCATCTGTTGCGGAGTGTCAGAATGGAGCGGATGATGCGGGTGGAGGACATGAAGAGAGGAGGAGACAAAAAGATGGTGAGGATGGTGAGGGGAGGAAAGCACAACAGGCTTGGGGCAGCTGATCCAGCGGTGGACACACCTCTGAACTCCTTAGACTCTTGGAATGGATCCTGGCCATCAGCTCTGAGCTTAACATTTTATAAAGGAGAAAACCAGAGGATCAAAGTATGGCTCTGATGAACTCAATGGCCCAGCATAGAGCTCAGCTTTGGGCCTGTCTGGGCTGCTGAAGCTGCAGGACTGGGAGATGCTTAGAGGTCCTTCTGTGTACCTTTGGTTGCAGCCGCTCCCCCTCTGTCAGGAACTCCGCACTGCCCTTGGATACAGACGCCAGTCCTTTCACCAGTCTGTAGCAGACACTGGGTCCAATCCCAAAACTATAGCACCTGGAGGACAGGGGCAGGAAGGTAGCTCTGGGTCATTGTCCCCAGTGGACTAAGAGACAGAGCATAGTCCAGCAGAGGCAGCTTAGAGATGGTTCTGTCTTCAGGTAAAAGCCTGGGGAGGAAGAGGAGTTATCATGGACACACACACACACACACACACACACACACACACTACAACCAACTCCCAGTCAGCACTGACAGTAGTCTCTAGATGCTAAGCTGTGGACAACTCATACCCCAGAGAGAGAGAGAGAGAGAGAGAGAGAGAGAGAGAGAGGGCACACATGGAAAGCATCTCCTCTCAGCATCCTGGAAACAAGGCATTCTGGGAAGTGTAGGTGCTATCCTCTCCCTCTGGTACAGTGAAAATTTGTTCTCATTTGGGTTGGGTTCCCCCAAACTCAGGCAGCCTGGGGTAATCAGACCCTAGACCCGCAGGTTGGGCTGACCTGGTAGAAAAGGCGTGACTCCGCACCAGCTCCAGAACCTTCCCTGTGTTGCTCACAGCCCCTTCAGTAATCAGGAAGAGTAGCCTTGGGTGGCCCTGGTGTACTGGCTGCCGCAGGATCCACTTGAGAGGGGAGAGGATGTTGGTGCCGCCCATGTCAGCCCGTATTCTTTGGATGCAGTCACATGCCTTGGCCAAGTTCGCCTGCAGGGAAGGACCATGGCAGGGCAGACAGGTCCTAGGTTCACCACGTGCCTACTGAGGATGAACTCTCTTCTCTAGCTCTTAGTTCAGCCATATACCCCTGTCCTCCCTCCCATTCGGAAAATTATCAGCCACTGATGAAATTCATCCCCCGTCAATGTCTTGAAGTGCCACCATTTGCAGAATAATGACATTATTGTCCTCTCTGAATTCTTCTTTAGGGACATAAGCACCCCCAGAAAACAATGTAGACTTTTTGAGCTCTTAACTGCTCAGCACAAGCAATCTCCCTGCCTGGTAAGGGAAGCAGGGGGCACGGAGGAAAGAGCACAGTACTGAGCATCCTCAGACATGAACACTGGATACGACTCTGGCACTGACTCCCATGACGCTTTGAGAAGACAATTGCTTCCCTGGCTTGGGCTCCAGATCCCCTCCCTCCTGGACCGACCTGTGGGGACCGGTTCGCCATGTATTATGGATATCAGATAGATGGCATTGCAGTAGGGGTTGATTCCCTCTAGATTCAATCTCCTGCCCCTGGCTCAGGAAGATTCTCTTCCTACACCCATGTTTGGAGGGACTTAGAAGGAATGGTCAATACTGAAGTTGGGGGTATGGTTCATTGGTAGTATACAGGCAAGCCCTGGGTTCCACTCCCAACCCCATATGAGCAAGCTGTGGTGGGGCATGCCTTCTCCAGAGGTGGAGGCAGGAGGACCAGAACATCAAGATCACCCTCAACTATGTGTGAGTTAAGAGTCTCCCTAGATGATGCAAAACCTTATCTTAAAAAATAATAGTCATGGTCAATATTGTCAATAGCAAGTCTTATGATGAAGACATAGCTCTGAATTCATCCCAGGAGACAGGCAAAGATGCATAGGAAATCCATAAGCAAAAATGACTAAGTAGAAAAACATGGAGGCCACGGAAAGGCCAGCTTCCAGGCTTTGTAAACAAATCAATCCCATTCTGTCTGTGCTATGGGCAGGCAGTCATTAAAATGTTGTCACAGATGGGATTTATTTGGCATGAAAATATGTTCCTGATAGACTAGGAAAGTAGGTCGTGTCCCAGTGTGGAAGACCTAGTCCCTGTCTTGAAAATGTGTGGAAACGCACAGAAACTCACAGAAGGTGACCTGGAAATATCACTTTTCCTTGTCATTTTTGTTTTTGTCTGACTGATGGTATCAAGGGAAATTCAAACATTTTTTTCCTTTTGATTATCTAGATCTAAAAATTAGTGATCAAAGGCATTGTTATTCTTACGTAGCCCAAGCTAACCTGAAACTCATCATGTAACTGAGGCTGACCTTGAACTCCTGATCCCCTGCTTCCACCTTCCCAGCGCTGGGATTGCAGATATGTGCCACCATCCCCGGCTCAACATGTATTTCTCTTTTATTTTAAAAATCCATCCTTTACTTATAGTAGTAAGTAGCCATTGCTGTTCTTCTCCTTCCTCCTTCCTCACTCTGTCTGCCCTTCCCCCATCTTCTCAGCTCTGGATAGACTGGCCCAGTTTTGCTGCTGGGGCCAGAGTCCTTTTGTTCCAAACAGCAGCTCTCGCCTTGTAAGGACCCCACAACCACTTTTAAAGCCACTTGGCCATTTAATTGTTCTTCTGTCTACGACCATTTATTTCTGTAGCTCAGCCTTGGATGAACCCATGATCCTCAAGAGATAGGGGCTGTGGTGGGTGGCAGGCCATGGGCATGACAGATGTGTCCCTATCCTCTGTCCCCGTTCTCCGTGTCCATGATCTCACAGACTTTACTGTAAGGGGCAGAAGACTTCTGAAGGCATCAGCAAGCCTCATGCAGGCAGCTTCTGAGGCTGTCCCCAGTGTGACCCCTTTGCTGTTCCCTTCCCCTTCCTGCTCACCACTGCCCATCACCCACCCAGGTCCAGATTTACCTCTCCTTACCTCATTATAGATCTGACTGGAAGCAAAGACGGTCTTAAATGTGGATCCAAACCCAATGACATTGAAGAGACAGGCCGGCATGAGGCTCTTAAGAGCCACCAACATGGCCTCCTGCCAGGCAAGAAAAGGGATTCTCAGAGTTCAGCAGGGGCTACTGCCACTCTGTCACCACACACCAATGCTGCCATTTCCAGCATGGAGCCACCTCCACAGGGACCTGTCACACTACCTGCACCCAGCACTCCTTCTCTATGTATCATAAAATCTGCCTCTCCTGGCCGGGCGGTGGTGGCACACACCTTTAATCCCAGCACTTGGGAGGCAGAGGCAGGCAGATCTCTGTGAGTTCGAGGCCAGCCTGGTCTACAAGAGCTAGTTCTAGGACAGGAACCAAAAAGCTACGGAGAAACCCTGTCTCGAAAAAAAAAATCTGCTGTTCCTGACCAGAGGCTGACCCATCAAAGCTACCAGCATGTGACCCCCAATCCATACACAGGCCTGACTCATCATGAGCACTCTGCAATGGCCTCGGAGTCCCCATCACCTCTTGCTGACATTGAGAGGTGGGAAGAGCATGGTCTGCCCATTCCCCTCTGCCAAAGCCAACGTGACATTGAGGGAAGATCCCATTGTTGACGCCCATCCAAGACCCCTGCATCAGCACCATCCTATCACTGGTGACACATCCCCAAGGAAGTCTCTTTAACTCATATTTATTAGATGCAAATGGTTTACTCCAAGTGTGTTGCCTTGCTGATCAGCCTCAGCAACAGGCTCATTGTTATCCCCATTCTTCAGAGAGGGCAAATGATTGGTTGAGCATCCAGTTAGTAAACAGTGCAGCAAGGATTCAGTCATGTCTCTTGACCTCCAGAGTCTGAACATTAGTGTCCCTATCTTCTGTAAATGTGCACCACCAGGAGACCTTGGTAAAAGTGCTAACTATAATAGTGTGGGGATGGAAAGAGTGCGAGCATTTTCTCTGTAAATAAGAGGGCCCAAGTTCGAATCCCCAGCACCCAAATAATAAGCTGAGTGTGGCTGTGGATTCATGTAACCCTAGCAATGGTGGGTGGAGACAGGCGGATCATGGGAACTGGCTGATCAGCCAACCTAGTTGGAAAGGTGAGTTTCAGGTTCAGGGAGAGATCCCTTATTAAAGGCACAAGGTAGAGAATGATAGAGGAAAGATACCCAATATTCTGCTCTGGTTTCTACATGCATGAGCATGGATGCATGAACTTGCATTCTCCTATACATGCAACACACACGTGCGCGCGCGCGCACACACACACACACACACACACACACACACACATGAAAGGAAAGAAGGACAGAAGGAAGGAAGGGAGAAAAGAAAGAGAAAATATGAGGAAATCAATGAGGCTGGGTATGGTGGTGCCTGTCTCAAATCTCAGCACTGGGGATTTGAAGGTAGGGGAATTACTAGCTCATGGGCAGCCTGGGCTATGTAGGAACTTCCAGACCAGTCTGGGCTACATGTGTATCTCAACTGTATACCAAAATCTAGAAAGGAAGCAAGCAAGGAAGGAAAACAGCGGAAGTGACGGTGGGAAGGAAGACTGGCAAGAGTGGTGATGAGTGACCAATACCCCGCTGCTATGGCGGGAGGCCTCAGCGTTAGACAACCTCAGTTAACAACCACATTCCGTCGCCATCACACGGAGTATAGAGCAGTGGGCCAGGGAGGCAGCTTCAAGTGGAAACCCCACCTTCCTGTTAATCACTCGACTTTGGGTCTGCCTGAGCCTCAGCACGACACAGAGGAAGACATACGTGGAGCTGTTACCAACCCAGTGAGGTCTGTATTAGTACCAATGCCCCTAGTTTGTAGGGAAGTGGGTGGAAGCTCAGGAAAGCTGAGGCCTTGTTCTGGGTCATAAGACCTGGGCCTCTGGCTTTGATCTTCACAAACCCAGCTCCGGGTCTGGCGAGTTGGCACCAGCTGCCCATCCCTAGGACCCAAATGGTGGAAGGAGAGACATGAACCCTACAAGTTGTTCTCTGGCACCCCCCACACACCCCAGAATGTCCACAAAATAAATCAAATCAAAAGAAAAAAAATTCCCTAATACAGCTCTGAAGTCTTCATTTATGTTGGCTGTGCCTCAGCCCAGAGGCGGAAATGAAAGGTCTTCCCCTTTACCTCCATATTTATGCTCCCCATTCTCTGGCATCTCAGCATAGTTTCAGAGAAACAGACCATAATACTCTAGAACATAGAAGCAAACATTGCCAGTTGATTCCGGCAATTGCCACATCATCCAACCGGCTAAGCGCCACAGCCCTGCAGCCCTCTTCTGTCCCCTTCTGCAAACACTCACATTAAATGATGCCATTAATGTCCCCGCTGCCTCTCCGCACAGCCTGTGTCAATACATTTTGTATCTCTACGAAAGAAGTCAATATCTGCTTTTTTTCATTGGCCACTAATGCATATTCCTGCTGGCAGGAGGCTCTGCTGATCCATACAGATCGCCTCGACTCACACCTATTAGAATTTTTTTTAAAGCCCTGCTTTTGGCAGCAAGTGGCGGCTGAAGAATGAGGCCAGCTGCCGGAAATTAAATTGCCTGAACTTTCCCCTTTGGCGTGGGCTGTTTGGATTTCTACTCTTTCCCCTCCTCCCTCAGCCTTGCGTTCCCTAAAAGTTCTACCCGATGGACCATGATGAATGACTCAAACATCCCCACCCCACCCCCCACAAGCCTTCTCCTTGGCAAGGCTTTCCCTGAGTAATTTCTGTGCCTTTCTCTGAAAGGGTCATGCTTAGCTGAGTGGACTGCACGGGCGCAGAGCCATTTGTGAAGGGATGACCTTGAGCCCAGAGAATGGAACTAGAAAAAAAAAAGCAAGGGGGGGAGACTCCACGGGGCAAGGGGACTGAAGGACAGACTAGAGAATGTCCCGGTCAGAGATTTCTGAAGTGGTAATGGTAGAGAGGACTGCAGCTAACGAAGTGGGTTCCTGATCATAAACAATTTCATTTTAACAACAACAACTTCCTGGAGTGGTTGCATGAGGAGAACACAGAGACACAGTCCAGGCTTAGCAGGGGTGGGGGTGGGGTGGCGGGGAAGGGTCAGGATCAATTACTGATGTCTCGGTAGGCTGCGGAGCGGGAAGCCGAGGGCCACACGACACACAGTGGCCCTCCCTGGATCAATCCTTCCTTCTCACCTCACAGAAAATATGAATGAGGTCTACAGTTGAGAATCAGTTTGTCTAAAGCCACATAGCCATTGTGACAGAATCAATTCTGGAGCCCGGGATTGCTCCTTCAACCATGCCACACAGCAGAAATGACATAAACAAGAGAGCTTTGTAAAAACCAGATGCCGTGGCTCACTTCTCCTAAGCAGCACAAGAAAAATGGACGCAGATCTGGAAGGCTCAGCCCCTCCACCAGTCCTGTGATACTTGGTAAAGTATTTAACCCCTTAAGGATCCAGTTTCCTTACCCCAGATATGAGGGACAGGGTATGCACTGCTTTCCAAAGACTGTTTTCAGTTTCTAATGCTGGGGCTCTTTTACGTGATCAAGGGGGTGTCTCAGTGTGGGTGTGGAACAGGCTATAGAGAGCCACACTAGATACAAGTATACTTCAGCACCCCAGAAAGCTCGGACAGCTCCCCGCCTGCCTCCACCTCTGGTGGCAGGCAGGGGTAGAAGGACCTCCCCAATCTCACATCCTCCTGTGTGAGGTGTCAGGATGCCTCCTGAAGGCGCTTGGCTCTCATTTATGATGCTTCTGACCTTATTCAAGATGCAGAGGAACTAAGGGGAGTAGGAGATTGCTGGCCTTGTGGATTCCACCTAAGTTCTCTCCTCATTGAGTCGGTTGCTCTGGAAACTGGAAACAAGAGCTTGCTCCCGCCCCCTGGGTGAGGTAAAGAGGAAAGGGTGGACTCTCTGGTGACAGGAGAGCCCACTTTCTCCTGGTTTTCCTTCTCTCATTCTCCTGAGCTACAATCCATCCCTCAGTCCAATAAATAGAATGAGGGTGTTTTACGTAGAAGTACAGAGCTAGGCCACACGGGGACAGATGAGGACGCGACAGTTCTTTTCCCTTAATGAGTTCATAACTCCAGATGGGGAGACAGACACCTGCAGAAGTCACAATAAAAGGGAACATTGGATAATTCCATAACAAGCTTAATGATTTCCTGGCAGGGAAGAGGGGATTTGTGGTGGTTAAGGGAGGCTCTTCTTCTGTATTTTTTTTTCTGGAGCTTCCGAAACAGGGAGACAAAAATCAAACTCCCAGGCCTTCCTGACTGGCTATTAAGCCACACCACACTTGACTGTGAGCTCTATGAGGTACTGACTTTGTTAGCATCTTGGGATTTTTTTCTCTCTTACTAAGATGGCTTTGTCCACCACCAGTCATTTGGGAGAAAGAATAAATGTTTTTATTTGTGTGTGTGTGTGTGTGTGTGTGCGTGCATGCGCTCTCATATACGTGCACACACGCACACACATGTGTGCATATACTAGTGGAAACCAGATGACAACTTGGGGTGCTGTTGTCAAGGTCAACCACTGAACCAGAACCAGCTTGCTAGGCTGACTGGCCAGTGCTGAGATTTCAAGTGTGCACCGAAGACTTTTTTTAGACATGAATTCTGAGACTCTAATTCTAGGCCTTTTAGGCACTTTACCGAGTTGGCTACCTACCCAGAGCAAATCCAATCTTTTCTCTTGGGTTCTACTTATAGGGGCCATGTCTAGTGACTCTGTGATGTCGGGTGGGGTGGGGGCAGTTAGGCAGTCAGTGGTTTGATCCCAGATTATGGGTAGCTGACCACAACTCTCAAGAACTGTTTCTTCATGTGGAGACTGTGACAAGAGGCTCAATCTCTTAGGATACTTGGATTAAAAACCAAGACACACTTTGAGGGGCTAGCCTGTTATCCCACACATTCCAGGCTCCCAGCACATGCCCCCCCCACCCATGCCCCTTCCCCATCAGGACCTAGCAGAGTGTTTTACCCAGTGCAGGCTTGCAGCCCAAGTCTGCAGAAAGTGAAGGACCTCATGCCTTGCAAATGGATAGCTTCTCTGGTTCTGTTTCCATCACTTCAAGGGTTTATTTTGGGAACAAATTGAGTTTAGGTGTCTCTGCTTAAACTGATTTTGAACAAGTGGCTTCTTAGAACAGAAAGTCTTGGGAAGCCAGGCAGAAGGGAGCGTAGCCAATGGACTTGAGCCCTGGCTCCCGGGGACAGGGTCCCACACACGGTACCTTGACGCACTGGATGCTGGTCCTGCTCATGCTGCTGCTCCTGTCGATGAGAAAGATGAACTCCCCGTGGGTCTTTCTCAGGTTGGGCTGCACAGACTGGAGGTCAGGGCAGAAGTTGAGCATGATGACCGAATGGTGGGGAATGTCTTTGTGGAGACGCTTCCGGATGACTTCTGTCTGGAGGAGAAGGGAACACTCTCAGATTTGGTGGAGTGTAGCTGTTTCCTTCTAACTAAAACATTTCCTCCTGTGGCAGGGAGGCTCTTTAAGACCCAGGAGGGAAATTAAACTTACAGGCTCAAGAAATCAACACAAGTCACAGGTCTCAGGGGGTTCCTGAAACTTACAAGATTCACAAGGCACCTGCCCAGGACTCTAGATTTACAAGGCTTTGGAAGTCAACACAAGTCATAGGTCTTACAGGGTTCCTGAAACCTACAGGATTCACAAGATACCCGCTCACGGTTCTAGAAGCAGCATTCACTGCTGGGAAGAGGAGACTCTTCAATATGCCCAAGTTGTTCAGGGAGCTCCAAGGGACACAGCTTTCTTGAGTCTTTGCTCACTCTCAGTTGGGCTGTTTATTGAGGCTGTTGAGTCAATCACACTCCTGTAAGTAACCCCATACTCTTTGGTTCACTAATTTACATTGGAAGTGGGGTCATTTCTTTAGTTCATTGTTGGTGGCCCACCTGGGGTGCACAGACACTTGTCCACATCACCCTGGAAAAAGTCATGCAACACTCGGGCAGTTGAGGAATCCTGGGGACTCATACCAGCGCCCCATCACTCGCCAAACATCACCTAGATCCAACTAATACTCTGTGCCGAAAGCTTCCAGGCTGGCTGTCCCTAGATCCTGTGCCTACTAGAGGATGGCATGCAGCAGCAGTAAGCACAGGCTTTGCATGTTTCCAATTTAAACCCCAACTCTGATGCCATGCAACCATGTGGTATCAGGTAAGTCCTTCCTCTGGGCCTTTCTTCACATGTACAGTGGGGTGCAAACACTGACCTCTTATGGTGGTCCTGAGGATGAGTTACATTAGCACATAGAGTAACTGAGTAATGATTTTCCGTGTTTACAGTGGATGCAAGCCCCTCTCTGGCTCACCTTGGTCACCATTCTGCTTACTGGATCCCTACCGCCATCAAATGACTCTTCTCTCTCACATTTTCCATGTTTGCAAAGCCTTCCCCACCCTTCCACGCGGGTATACTTGTTTCTATGAAATGAGCATGCGCGTGCCTGCCTTGTGGAGTGGTCGTGTGGATGGATGCCACACTTGTGACGATGGCCGCCCGGCAGAGTCAATGTCATTATCATTGCTGCGGCTGCCCTTGCCCATCCTGGGGGATTCAAGCACTTCTCACACTGAGTGCAGCATTTGCTCTGCTTGCTGCCTCCCCTCTAGCTACTGTGCTTCATCCTGGACTCTTGTATCTCCAGGGAGTCCTGTGGTGTTCAGTTAAGCGATGAGCAGTGACAGTCAGGAAGAACAGTGGCTCCAAGGCTTTCTATTTGATTTTACCTGTGTGCGTGCGTGTGTGTGTGTGTGTGTGTGTGTGTGCACGTGGAGGCCAGAGGTCAACTTTGAGTGTCTTTCTCAATTGCCCTCCACCTTAGTTTTTGAAACACGACCTCTCACTGAACTTCAGTATCGCCCATTCGGGTAGACTGACTTGTCTGAAAACCACAGGGATCCCCTGCCCCTGTCTTTGCTTCCCCAGTGCTGGGATTACCTGCCTGTGAGCCTGGCTTTTATGTGGGCGCTGTGATGGGACTCAGGCTTCATGCTTGCCTGGCAGGCACATTACTGCCAACCTTTCGCTAGTTTGCTTTCTGGTTTTGCTTATTGGTTTTTACATTGATGTGTTGTTGTGAATTTTGCTGTTGCGTGAGCGTGTGCATGAGGACGTCAGACGAGAGCTTGTAGAAATCTGTTTTCTCCTTCCACCATGTTGGTTCTGGGGATTAAATCTAGCAGTCAAGCAGGTGCCTTTATCTTCTGGCCCGGTTTTTTTCCTTTGGGCTCCGGGCCTGCCGCAGGCTCCACACAGCTGCAGAACCCTTTTCCTGACTCTCTAGCCAGCTCATTCTGAACTGGATCTGTTTCCTCCATCCCCACTCCCTCCACCGCAGGCTGTCTGTATGCACACATCTCTGTGTGTGTTTCTCATTCTCCTCTCTCTCTTTTCCATCTTAACAGTGGGCATAAGCGCCCATCCTGTGCTCACACCAGAGATGTAGCAGTTGTCTCCAGTGTTCCCCTCTTCCAGACCCCTCCCAGCCCATTCTTCAATAAAGACTCTCACTCCTTACCTAAGAGACAGACCCCTGAACGTGTCCTGTTTGCTGTCTCTGTGGCACTGCCCAAGTTTGGGGCAGGCTTTTCTCTTACCTCCACAGACACCTCTTGCTGACGCCCTGTGGTCTCTGTACACACAGCGGCCGGCAGCAGCTTCCCAGTACTCTAAGGCATGGAGTCTATGCTGTACTTTATGAAGTCCCACATGTCTGCCCACTACTGGGCTGTTTCAGCTGCATCCTGCTATTCTGCCTGCAATCCCAGAGGCTGCGCTCTCTGCCCACTCCTCTCCCTGTGGGCCTCTGCCAGACAGATCTTGTTCTCAAATGGGTATTTGCTTGACACCTGGCTAAAGAATGCCTGCCATCGTGTTATCCTGTCCTGCTTCTCCCATGGTCTCAGCCCCCTCCCAGTGAGTCTTGCTCACTTGCTGGTCTTCCTCTTCTAGGCTGTAAGTCCCTTGAGGTAAGGAATGCAACATTTCCGAGGCTGTTTCTCTAGGACTGAGAACGCCTGGCATCAGTTGGGAGTTCAGTGTTTGCTGAATGAATAAAAGAGACACTGGCTCTTTCTCTCTCTCCAGCCCCGCCCCACTGTGTGCCTTGACTGCTACTGGCCTCTCTGAGCATCTTTTGGTTAGTTTGTTTCAGTCTCTGTCTCTCTTAGGACCTCCATCTCCTCCATTCAGCACGCCCTGCCCTTTCATTGCTACATCAGCCATTGGCAGTTCATCACCCATCCTTCCTGGGTGATGCTCGCCTTCCGGATGCCCCTGACCTGACTTCTTTCCCACCTGTGAATCCCACTCTCCCTCCCACCCAGAACCCCCTTTGCCAAAAGGCCACTGCCTGGCTTGGTTGTTTTTTTTGGATGGACAGAGCCCAAAACAGGAACAGCAACCTCTGCCAGCCACAAGGAGCTCCTTCTAGCAACCTGATTCCGCCTTTCAGAGGGACAAATGGGTGCCTGGCTCCGGATTCCCTAATGGCTCCTCAAGCTGCCATTATCCAATTACAATAAACTCATCACTTCTGAGCAGCTGCCTCTTGATCGCCGTCATTCTCAGAACTCCGTGAGGATGCAGGCTATTTGCATAACGAACCCAAGGTAGCATATTAATTCTCGTTAGCCACAGTGGTCCCAGAGCTAATTGATTTGAGGCCTGGCAGCCAGGGCAGCCACCTCCAGGCCTGGGAGCGGGGAGGGGTGTCACCCTCTCCACAGCATCATTTGTTCTGGGAGCTTGGTGGCACCTTTGGCATGCCACACTCGCCTTCATCTTTGAGACCTCGCTCAGCTTCCCTTTCTAGCATATTCATCTGCAAGGCAGTGCCCCCACCTCCCTCTGTAAGCAGAGTGATGATACTAAACCTCCTGAATCTCCCCCATCAGGAGTTTCCACTGGAGTCTCCCATCGTGGGGTTGGTGCAAGCAGTTAGGTGGTCCACATCTTCCTGTCCTTTTCCCTTCCCACAGCCCTGTACCAGCAAGGGCAGCGAGAAGGTGAGGAACAGTTAAGTGCAGTAGCACCGCACCCCACTCTAGGAGAGTTGCTGGTCCTCTAGCCCCGATACCCCAGATCTAACTCTAGAGGTAACACTGGGCACTGGGCTGCAGACCGCTTATCAGCAAATGTGCCCATGGAAAGAGATGTGCCTTCATGTTGACATCCAGGATATGTGCTGTGGGGGGCACCATGTGTGGAAGGGAGATCACTGGGCTTAACGTGGGGCTGTGGGTTCACCCTCTGCCCTGCCCTCCTGCAGTCAGTGCCTCTTTACCTTTCACTGTCGGGGCTGGGGAAGGACAGAGGAAAAGGACATTTTTTCCTGGCCCCTCTTTCATCCATTTTGTAGCAGATAGTAAGGACTCCAGATGACGGAAGAATAAGGAACCTATTTAGCATTCTGAGGCCTGGAGGTGAAGAGGGGGCTATAGGGCCGCAGTGGCCTGGAGAAATAAGGCCAAGATGGCATCTGTACTTAGCTGCAAGCCTTGCCAGGCTTAGGAATGCTGGGGAGGGTACTAGGAGAAGCTGAGCCGTCAGGGAGATGGGATGGGGTGGGTTGCATCAGGAAGTCCACGTCCACCTTCCCTGAGGTATCTGGGACCCCAGAAGGAAACACCTCTCACTTCTTGTCCAAATATGGCCACCAGCCTAGGGTGTGACCTCAGGGGAGTCATGCCCTCCACTCCAGGCTTAGAGGCCCCAAGGGTTCAGCGAGACAAGTCCCCAGGGTGCCCCAGCTCTGCCACCGGTGGCTCACCTTCCGCTCGGCACTGTTGTCCTTCTTCATCCCCCGGATGAAATCCGCTTTCCCCTTCAAGTGCTGCTCAAACTCCTCCAGGGTCATGTCCCCTTTCTCCACCAGGATGTGTGGCATGTGGGGCTCTGTACAGATGAGATCAACACTCAGCCTTTGCCTGGGTGTGAGGGACACAGCAGGGGCTGTCGTCTAGGGGTGATTTCTTCATGGGGGATGGGAGTAGGTACTGGACTAGAGGGTGACATCCCTGGGTGTGTGAGGCAGTAGGGGCCAGGGGAAGACTCCTTAGTAGAGGAAGCCTAGTACCACCTTCTTTCCGTGAGCCTCAGTTTACCCTTATGTCAAATGGACTGATGCTGAGCCAAATGCCTGTGGCATCTTTCCAGGGACAGATGTTTTGTGAGCTTTTAAGGGGGCAGAGAATGGCTCTAAGAGTTTACAAAGTGTCAGAGCAACTTCTGCTCAGCAAGCATAGGGGTTCAAGCCCCCCCCCCCAGGGCAGGTGATCCCTGGGGCTGGGAATTTGCTGAATAGAGACAGGCTTCCCTAGGAGCAAGTCTTTGGTCTCTTCTCCCATCTCCCACCCATCCCAATTCTTGCCCTGACTAGGTGTTTTCCACGAAGGCAGCAGAGCCCCTCCTGGGGTACCATACCACTAGGGTGTAGAAGGATCTCCACTGGCCGGTCAAAGGTATGTTTGTTGGCCAAGGTGATGATGATGCTCTTGGCTGAGTGTGCAGAGGGGGCGGCGTCTGCTCGGATTTCATGCGTGGGACTCTCCACCCCTGAGTGGAACAGACAGACAGGACAGGGGAGGGACAAGAGAGAAAGGAGCTTAGAGGGAGATTGAGACCTAGGCTGGAGATGATTGGCAGGCTGGCCCTAACATGGACACACCTTGGTGTGTGAGCATGGATACCCTCCTCAGCTTCCCCACAGTGTAGATTGTGCCCAGTGGTCCTTCCTTCCTGACCACAAGATCTAACTTGTTCTTGGGGTATGGGGTATACCCACAAATGTTGCTAAGCAATCAGAAAGAGCTCAATGCTCCATGGGTGGGGCACTTTTGTGGGTGCTCTTTGAGAGCTCCTTGCATTGCAATCAACACTCACTGATAAGAAACGATGCCCTGTGCCCTTTAAAACCAAAGATGGTTGGGAGGGAACCATCTAACCCTAGTTCTCAGCCCTTGTTTCTTGTTGGGATTTTTCAGAGAATTTTATAATGTTGCACTACCAGAATTCACCCCTGAATCTCTAGGGTGAAACATGGATACAGGGGGGAGTTGAATACTCCCCAGGAGGGAACCAGAGCTCAGCTTTATAGCCATGGCCTTCTAGAGAAGGTTAAGCTACCTACCACTCTCTGAAAGATATTTCCCCGGGGAAGTTGCAGGGTTGGGCTGGGTTAACGTGAAAGCCGTCCTGGGGAGAAGTTTACCTTGGGACAGCTTGTGCATCCAGTTCTGAGTTGTTCAGTTTTGACTTCTGTCTGGGTTAGGTGGTCTTTGTGACCTCTTGTCCCCCCTCCCCCAAATCTCTCTGGAGGCTTTGGGTCAGAAGCCCCATCTCCTTTGTTTCTCTGGACCTGGGAAGCGCCCTCTCACCTGCAAGCAGACATGGCCCACGGATCTCCAGTTGAAAGTTGAATTCATATTCCATTGGGTTGGTCACCTCTGTATCCAGGAGGGTGGCCAGACACAGCCCATTCCAGGAGTCCACAGTCTGAATGCCATAGCAGTGTGGGTCTTTGCTAGAAAGGTGTATGAAGGAGGAGGGAGGAGAGAGGAGGAAAATGAAGTGAGGAGAGAAAGAGGAAGAGGAGGAAGAGGAGGGGGAGGAGGATGAAGCCCAGACAGAGGAAGGCAGCATAAGAAGACTGTGAGTCTCAAATACCTCCTCCCATCCCAGGACCTCTGTCGTCACATTCAGCCTGACTCCAGGGAGGGGCTGGATGCAGAGAGATGCCATAACTATTACTGGGGAGTACCTGGGATGGGCCAAGATCTAGACATGGGTTCCCAGTGCCTCAACCCTCATCATTCCCATCACAAACCCAGGAGGAGGACATCAGAGCCCAACACTTCCTACACGAGGGTCTGAGGCCCAGCAAACAGAGCAACTCACCCATGGGCTTGGTTAGGATTTGGCAGAGCTGGCAATCCTGGCCCAGATTTGCCTGGTTCTGGTATGAAATGACTTGCTGCGTCACATGGCCTTGTGCCCATGATCTGTCATGCATCTCAGTGATGCCCTCACTTTCACTCCGTCTGTTCTGAGCTTGGTCCTCATGCTGTCACTCAAAGTTCTTGCTGGTGGCTGGATACCACACAGGGCTACCCATTGCCAAGCACTCATTTCCTCCCTGTGCTCACAAATACCACCCCACCACTAACAGCCTTGCTGGGTCTCTTTTTGACCTTATAAAGAGTGTTTCTTTGGGTCCCCAGGTAAAGGGCAGATGCTAATCATAGTCAAACGGTTTTCCTGGCTTGTACTCTAATTCCCATTTTCCTGGCAGTGAACGGGAGCCCCCCCCCCCCACTGTTTCCCAATGGCCTGGCAAATGCTGCATCAGCTGGCTTTGGGCAGCCGTGAGGTTCATGGGGAGCTGATACAGATGTCTCAAGGGCATAACTGTCAACTCTGCCAGCTGGAATGAGGGGCTAGCTCACCAGGGGTGTCTGCTCTACTAAAGTCCAGAATGCTCCAGTCAGATTCTGCCTTTCAAACCCACACTGTAGCCCCATGGACTTGCAAAGTGACACATGGGGTTGATGGTACCCACCCAGGTCAGCTTTGTCACCTGCTCTTGGCATCTTCAAGATCTACGTGATCTGTTCCACCACCCTGTGAGCTCAACGCCTCTTCTTACACTCCGCCGTAGCCATTTTCAGCCCAACAATAGCCAATCAAACCTGCTGCAGCCTCAGGATCTCTGTATACTCCCTGCCCCTCTAGAATGTATTTCCATAGCTTCCCGAGCAGTAGAGTATTCGTAGAGCGAGTGTAAGGGTCTGGGCTCCATCCCCAACAGCTCAGGAGGAGGGGGTGGGTAGAGAGGGGAAGTGGCAGGAAGGGAGAGGAAGAAGTGGGAGAAGGAGGAGGAGAGGGCAGAGGAAGAGAAAAGGAGGAGGAAGATCATAGCTGTTGTTTAATCCTGGTTTGCTATATAAGACAGCAGCTACACCATCCTCTTCTCTTTGCATCCCCCCCACCCCCCCCACACAGTTAGCACTTGTTTTCATAGACAGTGGTCTCAGCAGGTACCTCCCAGGCTATGGCACCCCCCTCCCTTCCCACACTGTAGAAGGACCCCCTTTCGCCCAGCTGGAAGCACTCACTAATGGCTCTTTGCTGCATTGGGGAGATGCAGAGTCTGCTGGGCTCTCCTAGCCTTACAGGCTGTTCCCTGTTGCCTGTGTCAGCTCCTCCCTAGGCCCCGCCCTGTCCTCACTGTCAGGGTCTTTATGAAGCCTGGCCTGACCTCTGGATACCCTTTCTTCATCTCCTTAGCCCGAAGAGCTTCTCTCAAACCACAGTTTTCACACAATTAGTTGTACATTCAAGCCACACGGCTGTTGCATGATAGTAATGATCTCTTCCCTTCAAATTGTTGCTTGGGGACAGGGTCTAACTATGTAGTTCTGGCTGTCCTGGAATTCACAGTGTAGACCAGGCTGGCCTCGAACTCATAAAGATTCATCTGCCTGCCTCTGCCTCCTGCATGCTGGGATCAAAGGGGTCATGGCACCATGCCTGGCTTCCCTCTGAGTTTCCTTCCTTCCTTCCTTCCTTCCTTCCTTCCTTCCTTCCTTCCTTCCTTCCTTCCTTCCTTCCTTCTTTGTTTTTGTTTTTCAAGAACTCTCTGTAGTCCTGGATATCCTGGAACTCACTCTGTAGATCAAGCTGGCCTTGAACTCAGAGATCCACCCAACTCTGTCTCCCAAGTGCTAGGATTAAAGGTGTGTGCCACCACTGCTCAACCCCTCCAAGTTTCTAAACAGCATGGATCATGTTTTATCCCTTCTTTATTTCTAACACTGAGTCCTAGGGCTTATCATATAGTAAATACTCATAAAAATCCCTCTTAAGTGCATTAAAAAGTAACCCCTGGAAATTCTAAAGCCTTGCACTTCTGCCAGTGCCAGAATGAGCATTTCCAGTAGATTGTTCTGGAACTCTGAAAGTAAGAGGGCCCAAATGCCTCCCCTGCCCCTCGCTGTCTCCTTCCTGCTGCCCCCGATCAGGTCCAGGTCTGGGCAGGGCCTCCTTACCCTTGAGCCTGTTGTCTGGAGGAGCCGGAGCTGTGAGAGCAGAACTGAGGCACAGTCGGGGCACAGATAGCCGGCAGGAGGACCCTCACAGCCCCGCTGGGCAGCGTGGGGAGTTCCGAGGAGGTGCTGATGAAGATGGTTACATTCTCCATGGGAGCAATGGTCCCCAGGTTGACCACGAACAGAATCCGCTCCAGATCCTCATCCAAGGCCACTTTTCCCGGTGTGCAGGAATGAGGGGCGATGGGAACCCCATCGTGTGGAATGTTCCCTAAGTGCCAGGTTGGCGTCAGGTGCTGTGCAGACTTTGTCCCTAGCCCCCTCTTAAGTTTGCTATGAGGTAGTTCCCTTTTTGCTTATGGGGAAACTGAGGCCCACCATTAAGGGTCGGCTTGCCTAAGCTGCTCAGCCAATTATTAGCTCATTGGCTGGATTCTGCACCCTCAGGGTCTGAGTGGAGGCTGTGGCTTTCCATTAGGAGACTCAGAACCACGAAGAGAACCCACCAGAGGATCACGTGCCCACCCCACAAACCCCACCCAGGCACCAGCTGACGCACACCTGCTTCTTCTCATGTGTTTGCTTTCATCCTAAAGGCTCAAAGTCCCACTGGCTAGTCTCACCCATCCATCACCTCCTCCCCCACCGTGAGAGCCTCCCTAGTCCCCAGTCAAGTCTCTCTCCTTTATTCTAACAACATCAGCACCTTTCCAAGCACAAGCACTTTTGATGTCCCATCACGGCCATTCCTGGGAACGTTCTAGCAATTTCTCCAGGTCACAAAAGATCACCACACACACATACACACACACACACACACACACACACACACCCAGAAGGTGCCATCCATGAGTGCTGATTCTAAAAATCTGTCTACATCTGGATGCTCATGTTGACATCTTCAGTTTCTTCTGACAGTCAACGGTCCGATTTGCTTACATGTGTGGTACGTGGTATGGGCCAAGTCACTAACTAACATGCTGTGTGACCTTGAACCTGCCACCTCCTCTTTCTGTCTTTCTGAGCCTCAGCTTCCTCACTAGCAGGAATCACTAGCTATGCGGCCAGAACTTACGGTAGCATAAGTTCTTGGAAAGCATTGATTTAGCACTGAGTTGCTCTGATTACTTATTTTAACAGATGTGTGTGCTTGTGTATGTGGGCATGCATGCGTGTGGCCGAGTATGCGTGCACATCTGTATACAGGTGCACACACCTGTGAGTACATCAAGGCCAGAGGGTGTGCTGGGTGCCTTCTTCCATTTTGCTTTCCACTGTTTGTTTGAGTCAGGGTCTCTCACTGAACCTGGAGTTTAAGGATTTTTGGCTAAGCTGGTTCATCAGCAAACACCAGGGATACTCCCGCCTGTGTCTCTGACCCCTGTCCCCATTCAGTGCTGGGGGTCCTAAGGACGGACAGTCATACCCAGATTTTTATTTGGATACTGGGGATCCAAACTCAGGTTTTTACACCTGTGCGGCAAGCTCTCTTACTGTTGAGCCATCTCCCCAGTCCCTCAGACAAGATTTTTTTTTTAATCTAAGCTCACATTACTCATGAAAATTAGGCTAGGAGCCAGCCCTTGGTGTGACTCATTCCACACGGTCTCTGTGCAGGAAAGATCTGGGGGGACCTGCCCTCTTTGGATCCTCATTGCACCTTGAATAGGGAAATAAAGACAATCCCATGCTGCCTTGCCATGCGCCCGAGGCTCTGGCTTGGGCGGCCTCCACCCAGGACAGCCTCACCACGCTCTGCGGGGACTTCTTACCTGTGACAGTGGCAGACTGGATATCCAAGTGGCTTCTGTCCAGCTTGGCTTTGTCTTTGATTTGTATGGTGACAACTCGGTCAGCAATGACTGCCTCAAAACCAACCACGGTGGTATGCTCATCCATCGGATACACGAACAGACCTGGCGGAGTGAGGGCCAGCGTCACGGGTTGCTCAGCCCCATCCTACATGTCCAGCTCCCAGAGGGGGTCAGCCTGGAATCTGCCAGGGCTGTACTTGGATCTGTGGACTGTACTCACTGGCCCTCGAGGGGACATAGCCGACCGGGGCTGGAACCAGGCATGTGGGGGCAGCGTGAGGAGGCAGCGTCAAGAAGTGAACATGTCCAACACCTGCCAGCTTTTACCCTTGGATGTCTGAGCTTCAGGGGCCAGAGAGCCTGGTTTCCAAGCGAAATAAAAGCCTGGGCTGTCGTGTAGGCTGTGTCTAGGCCTAGCGGTATATGACTGGGTGGTGAATTTGGTTCACGATCACTGGCTTGCCGCTGGCCATCAGTAGGTGGGGCTGTGGAAGAGCTAGAGAAAGGTTCAGATCCAGGCCTTTCATGTTTCCTAACCCTGTTACATTGGGCAGGACACTCATCTCTAAGTGTAGTGTCCCCACCTACAGCAAAGCCTCAAGGTGCCTGCATTAAGGCATGCACCACACAGTAGGTGTCACACATTCTTATGTCCTTACTTCTCCTGACGTTCTAGGTATTGAACCCAGGGCCTTTCACAAGCTAAGCAAGTGATCTACCGCTGAGTGACAGTCCCAGCCTCTTGTTACTTCTTATTTTGGGGCAGGGTCTCACTGAGTTATCCATGCTAGCTTTGAACTTGCTGCATAGCCCAGCTAGACCCTGACATTTCAATCCTTTTGCCCCAGCCTCTGGAGTAGCTGGGTTACCAGTTAGCATCCACATGCCTGGCCATTGTTTTAGAGCTGAACTTTGGCGTGAGGAATATGCGAGTTGTCTGGAGGTTGTTGGTGTTTGGATTTGAATCCCTGTGGGGGCAGAGCCTGAGAGCCTGCATTTCTGGTCAGCTTTAAATGATGCTGAGCTTGAAGACCTCAATTCCTTTCCTCTGACATGGAGACAGCACAGTGCTGAGACCGTGGTGAGGACTCCACAAACCCTGACTTGCTGTCCTTCAGAGCCTCAGTTTCCTTATCTATAAAATGGGACACTTGTCCCTCCTGCAAGAGGAAAGCTGGTCAATCTCACAGCTGTTCATCAGTGTCTCGAGGGTCCCTAGGTAAGCCTGTTTTCAGTCTCCAGCTCTAGGCTCCCTTGAACCGAGGAGCAAGGCCATTTGTCCAGCCCATATCCCCGAGAAGAAAGTTCCCATGTAGGTTCCTTTCGGGTAGTGCTGGCCCCCAGAGCAGCACTGGGGCGGTGACAGAGTTTGGACACAGGGCCTGGGAGAATGGGTTAGCCATTAGGAGACTCCATCACCCCGAAGAAGAAGGTGGTCCAGGTCGAATGTGGTGGCACCTGCCTGCCATACCAGCACTTAGCAGCTGAGGCAGGAGGATTGCGGAGGGTATGCGGTCATCTAGGATGACATAGTGAGTACCAGTTTAGCCAGAGCTATACAGCAATACTCTGTCTAAAAAACATAAATACAACAACAACAACAAAAGCCCCAACCAACTAATCAAATAAACAAGCAAACACAAAAGGGGTTAAGGGAGAGAATCCTGCCCGCAGTTAACCCCTGGCCAAAGTCTGGTGGCCATTGGTAGGTAAAAGAGAGTGACCGGGATGATGGGAACACGCTCACTTTGTGTGCTGGAATGGGCCTGCTGACCACTGGCTTCAGCCAGGAAGAGTATATTCTATGCTGGGAAGAGATAAAGTCCAGGTGGAGGTGGCACCTTGGGATCTGTGTGCTGGTGACAGAGAAGGAAAGCCATGGATAGAGTCAAGGGCTTGGGGGAAGGAGAGGTGTGAGATAGCCAGCCCCTGTCCTCTACCTAGACTGCTCCCCCTTGATAGGTCCTACCCACATGTCCGCCCATGCGGCTGCTCGTCAGGTACTGCTACTTCAGCAATTCCTCCTCCCGGAACCCAACTCTTAGCTCTTCCTGCTTTCTGTTCTCCTTCACTTCAAACCCGTGGGGCCGTCCCGGAAATCCCACTGTGCAGAGGAAGGAGCCCAGTACAAGCCAGCTAGTGAGTGACAGGACAAGGGCTCAATATGGAGGAGGTGGTTCCAGGAAATCCACGCCGCCGGGGTTACCTTGGAAGGGTTGAGCCTCCAGGTTGCCGTAGGTGAGGGAGGCCGTGAGCCCCAGGGCATAGCCGCTGACATAGGAGGTGACATCAGACACGGTGAGAGGCAGGTTTGCCCCCGTGGCACGGTTCAGCAAGCCAGGCATTCTGTTGGCTCCTCAGCTCAGGGCCTGCAGGAGACAGGGCAGTTGGGTACCGAGGAGAGGCCCATAACCCTCCAAGCCTAATCTCATTTGAGTGCCCTAAAAACTGCAGCCTCATGGTCTTTGCTTATCTTGGGGACTTCAGAGTTAGTGAGCATCCCGAGAGCAGGGGACTTGGTCACTGACGTCACACGGCACAGGTAGAAAAGCTAAAAAAAAAAAAAAACAAACCCGATGGCACCCAGAACTAGGGCCAGTGTGGAAGTGACCAACCAAACAGTTTGGACTTACTTACCCCCCCCCCCCATTTGTACGTGGGTAGGGATGAGGGGCTCACGTCTCACCCCATCCCTATGGCTCCTGATCTCTGAGCATCACATTTTCTCTGTGAAATGAAGGTATTGACTCCAGCAGTTCTCCAGGTCCCTTCCTCTGGCTGCAGAAAACCAACTCGCGGCAGCCAACACATGGCTTGTTAAGGGTTAAAAGTCAGCTGGGCGGTGGTGGCGCACACCTTTAATTCCCAGCACTTGGGAGGCAGAGGCAGGCAGATCTCTGTGAGTTTGAGGCCAGCCTGGTCTACAAGAGCTAGTTCTAGGACAGGCTCCAAAGCCACAGAGAAACCCTGTCTTGAAAAAACAAAAAAGGGGGGCGGTAAAAATCACCAAAATCAGGACAGTTGCCATCCTTCCAGATGGGTCTTTCTTGCCATTCCCCATACCTGACCCATGGCTAGGGCTGGGACTTCTCTCAGGAAAAGCCCTTGACTCTATCCATGGCTTTCCTTCTCTGTCACCAGCACACAGATCCCAAGGTGCCACCTCCACCTGGACTTTATCTCTTCCCAGCATAGAATATACTCTTTCTGGCTGAAGCCAGTGGTCAGCAGGCCCATTCCAGCACACAAAGTGAGCATGTTCCCATCATCCCGGTCACTCTCTTTTACCTACCAATGGCCACCAGAGCCCTTTGAATGCAAACTGATTCAGGGCCCATTCTTCACCTAAGCCCCACCCCTTAGCAATGCAGTTCAAACACTAGGGGCTCAGCAGCTTCCTCTTCTTGCCTCTGTGTTGCCATGCTGCCTGCAAATATGGCCCCACTCCTGCTTTTGATGGAGGAGCTTTCTCCTCCTCCTCCTCCTCCTCCTCCTCCTCCTCCTTGTCCTCGTCCTCGTCCTCGTCCTCGTCCTTGTCCTCGTCCTCCTCCTTCTCCCCCTCCTCCTCCAGAATGGTCGAGGGCAGACTATCTCTGCCCAGCATCCTTCATCCCTCTCTCCCACCCCATCTCCTCTCTGCTGTCATATTTCTACCAGCTCATCTGAGCATCTTTAGTCCTGCGAGGTTATTTTGTAACTGTTCTCTATAGGAGATGTGGGTAGGACCTAATTGGTTCTCCTCTGACCTCTTGGTGCCAACTGAGTGGAAAGAATAACAAATTGCTTCATCCTTTTACCATCTAGATCTTCCTGGAGCTGAATCTTCAGGACTGTGAATGGAGACCTAATGAGTCTCTGAGGACCTCCCACAAAGGCAGATGCTTCTGAATGGTGGGGAGCTAAGGTGTAAGTGGGGGTCTTTCTGGGTTTCCTCTCTCTGTCTGAGCCAGGCAAAGCGCGACTGGTGACCTTTTTCCATCTGATGGCACTACTTGCTAAGTGCTGAGTACTCTGCCCCTTCTCTGGGAAGGTTGTGCTTCCAGTTTCGGTCCTATTGATGTCTCCAGTGAGATTCTCAGGTGTCCCCCCACCCCGCCCCCTCCACGGCCTGGCCAGCGTCATCTTTTTAATTATCTTCTCTCTTGTGACTGGAGCCCAGACAGCTCTGCTGGCCTTATCTCCTGACAGGCTGGCTGATAACGGAAGGGGGCAGAGAGCTGGGAGCACACTGCTGGCTCCCGTGCTCTGTTGTCTGTCTTGGTGGCCAGAGTAGAGGCCCGCCTCTTGCAGGAAGCAAGCAAGGATGACAGACTTCATTTCCTGAGTGAGCCGCATCCCACGCTATCTGTGGTCCTCTCTCTTCCTTCTCCCACAGTTTCTCTACTGTCCAGAATGTTGATGGGGGAAACCAGATGTGCTGTGGACTTGGACTTGAGCCTTGGTACCATTCTGGGGTAGAGTGTGGCACAGGCATCTTGTCCAGCCCACTGTTCCCATTCCATGCCTCACACCCAGAGAGTGCATATGGATGGGAGGTTCTGTAACCTAGGCCAGACTGGCTCTAAAAAGACCCTCTTGATGCTGACCCACAGTAAGGCCAATGATTGACAAATGGGACCCGTGAGATTTAAAAGCTTCTGTACGGCAAAGGAAACAGTTACATGAAGGGTTGGTCAACAGAATGGGAGAAATTCTTCATCCATCTCATAAAGAGGGTTAGCATATAGACTGCGCACGGAACTCAAAACTAAACAAGAAATAAAACGAGCCAATTGATAAATGACTTAAGGGAACGAGCAGTTCTCAACAGGTGAAATGCAGATGACCAAAGCGTTTAAAAAATATTCCACTTCACTAGCTACCAGAGGAATGCAAGTCAAAACCGTGCCGAGAGCACATGCCACCCGTCAGAATAGCAGTCACATAGAAAATGAGGATCATGGGATATCTTAGATTCCTCAGGAAGAATGAGTCGCCATTTGCAGGGAAATGCATGCAGCCAGGGATAATCACATTACAGCAACCGAGTCAGCTGCAGAAAGACAGATCCCAGGTTGTCTTTCCCTTGTGGTTCCCAGATTTCATGTTGATACACACAATCACATACATGTTTGCGTGTATGCTCATGCATGTATCGTGAAAGCGGAAGCAAAATTGTTAGTGGAGGACAATGGGGACCAGGAGGAGAAAGACAGGTGAGAAAAAGGAGGAACAGACTATGTCGGGTGCTAAACAGTATATACACGTACAAAAGCTTGAAAACCCGGGAGAGGTAGACTTTCAACCCCAAGGGCCCTTATTCACACACGTTTGCCAGCATTGATAAGTCTCTACTGTGTTTCAGATCCTCTATAGCTCTGAGGAGACGAAGATAAGAGACGGCTTTATCTCAGAGAGTTTATAATCTTGTAACAGATGAAACTGGGGAGTTAAGAAGACACCGCAAATGACAGCGAGAATTTATTAGGCGATGACAATGAGCCAAACACATATATTGTCTCATTTACTCTTTGCGGAACTGATAAGGTGTTAATCTTGTGCCGACAGGACCCTGAGGCCTGGCGAGAGACGTGTTTGGTCCTAGATGTGAGTTTGGTGGCGGCTGAAGGACGTGCCGACACAATGGCTGCCGTGTCTGATGGTCTTTTGGTAGGACCCTGAGGTTGTTGGAGAGCAAATATGTTGGGTGTCCTTTCTCCTGGCTCCATTCCCAGCCCGGGCCTCCAGTGAGCAGCAGGCTCTAGGGAATCCTGAGAGGCAGTGGCAAACCCACCCATCTCCAGAGCTATGTGTGAGACCCTGGTCTGTCCTGAAGATGGGATCTAGTACCAGCTGGAGGTTCAGTACATCAGGGTCGATAGTTGATTTATCTTGGTTAGGTTAATTTTAGGTGGGGGAAGACCCACCCTAAAAGTGGGCGGCAACATTTTTCAAGCCTGAGTCCGAAACCAAATGAAAAGGAGAAAGCCTGCTTCACGTGAGAACTCCTGGTTTCTGTGAGTTCAAGGCCAGCCTGACCTACACAGAAACTTCCAGGCCAGCTAGAGCTCGTGAGATCCTGTCTCAAAACACACAAAACTTTTAAGAGAGGCTGAGGAAGGCAGGCAGGAAGGTTTAGAGAAGGGGTGTTCGGAGTGATCTTTTGTTTGAGGTTTCATGTTCCCTGAGGAGCAGATGGAATGATGGGAAGGGCATGGGGTGCGAGACCAGTTTCCCCTGGATCTCATACTGAATGTGGTACCTGTAATGAATTCCCTGTGGCCTTCTAGGGCATCAAAGGTGGCCTCTGGTGGCTTAGAAATGCCGAAGCTCAAATGATGGCCTTCTGCCTGCTCGGGACGCTATTTGTATTTATGCCTGGCTCAATAAATATTTATAATGTAAAAATGAATGAGTGACTATCAGCTGCTGCAAGGACATTATAGGACACTTGGTGCTGGCTTTCTGTGGTGGGGACAAGGCAGGGTGTGGCTATAGATAGTAGCACAAGGGACAGACAGCAAGACTGCACACCTAGAATCTGACCCATTCATGAGCTTCCACCCCATGGTTCCCTATTCTCAGAGAAGCAGTCACAACCACCCTTTGAAGGTAAGGACACAGTCATGTGACTGCCAGAATAAAAACCCCCTGATGTGCTCCATGGATCTTAAGGCCCTGTGAACTGGATTTCCTTGTGAACCACCCTCCCCCTACCCCCATGGTTTCGTCTCTCCAGCTCTTCTGTCTGAGGTCTTTCACACGGATGTCCTCACACCTAGAAATAGTCTTCTCCTGGATGTTTGCATGGCTCGCTCCCCTTTCGGGCCTTTGCTAAGGCAGGCACATACTGATGTTTCATTTAACCTGGCAACCCCTTCCCTCAGCCTTTTCCTCCAGGACTCGCTTGACTTCCTCTTTGTGCTTTCTGTAGCAGTCTTGCACGCACATCAGAAATAGCTGTTTATTCTGGCTGTCGTTCAGCACCTGCTTCCTCTCCACGGGGCAGAGACAGAGCCTGGTTTTCTCATGGCCATATCCCGAGCCCCTTGAACCAGCCTTGCACTGATAAGGCAATGAGGAAGTATTCATTATTAACGCATCCTCAATCCCAATAGCAAGCCAGCTGTTGGTTCTTCTGAGGGAGAGGAGTAGGCTGAAGTCATTAGGTTCCATTCCTATGTGTGACACTGAGTCCCTAAACCTTCCTTTCCTCCCACAACAAGGCCCAATTCTCTTGTAACAATCCACAGTTTCATAGAGAGGGTGAGTGACCATTCTAGGTGCCTGGACCAGCTCCTGGCCACGGCCCATCTCCCTGAGTCTCCCATAATGCCACTACAGCCACCACTCCTTGTATCCCATT